ACATTGGTTTAGTCATTATGCTTGCAAGAACACTATTAAAAGCTGCCATTAATAAGGGAATAACAAAACGCTAAAACACCCAAAAGAAAAACCAAAATCGTAGGTTCATATTTTGTTGTAAAAAGAACACCATACAGTTCAAATAAAAAATTGCCCAAACGTTTTTTCTTTTGTATCTGTAATAAAAATTACTTATTTTTATTAACTGAAGAATTTTAATGTTTAACTTACTGTTTTGTAAAACATATTTGTCAAAGCATATAGTAATACAAGTAAAAGTGTTGCTAATAGCATGCACCATGGACCTGCTTGAAAAGGTTTTAATGGGACATCGATCCCTGCTGATAATTAGAGGTTTAGGAACTTAAGAAAAGTTAGAGCATTTCGAAGTGTTTATACATTGAAAATTCAGTGGAAGCACGTCGGTGTACCATTTGATAATAACAACCTAAAAATATGTATGTATAGTAAAATTTATTTTATGGAATAAGAGTAATTTATATTACCAATTCCAAAATCAACTTGTCCACTAACAATAATCCTATTACCAGTTCCAATTGAAGTTATTATATAATGTACTTGGAAGTACCGTTTAGTTTGGAACTATTTTTGAGTAAAATTATATTTATCTACAAGGGAATTCATAATGAACCATTCTGCACCATTGTTTTATCTAAAAGTCAAATGTTATTTATTTTTCTATAATTATAATTAATTATTTAATAGTTTTACCAAAATTTACGTATGGCAAATATGTGAAATGTATGTAGGAATTTTTCAGCTCTCGTTGCAATAAATTTTCAAATTTTTGTGGATACAAGTCCAATTTATTAACATCTGCATCCTTACGCGTACTTCCCCAAGATGCACTGTTTTTCTGAGGTACGTGGTTCCGGTGTATTGATGGTATATAAAATCAAACAATCGTTTTTGGACACAATTAGTAACACGTTAATAATTTTATTAAACTTACTTCTGTCTCAAAATATTCTTCAACATTTTACATTCTTATGTTAGATTAATAAATATCTCAGCACGATGAATCTGTAAACGGTTGAATATCTTAAATTATATTCAATAATTTCACCATCTTTAAGAAGATTTTCTCAATTATTAGGAATCCATTACATTTGATACTTTTAATATTTCAAAGAAAGTATTGTTATTATATAGTTTATTTAATGTCACAATTGAAAGAGCTTTTAAGTTGATATCAACATTTCCAAAATAATACCAACACGAATTGTTTTCGAAGTACTTTAGGGCAATAATAGTGATTGTAGACATCACAAGAGGTGACATGGTCGTATTTCACTGCTGTCGAATGTTATTTGGACACTGATTTATATATCAAAATCTAGTTCCTTGAATGCTGGCCAATTTTGTATTCAATCATCATTTTAGAAGACGTCAAATGATGTCAAATATAAATATATTATTTAACAAAATAGTTATGAACTACTTAGATATTTCTGAGTGAAATATATTACTGTTCTTGAATTTAGGACAAGTTAAGTATCTTCTGCATCCATTGCCGCATTTTTTGTATGATGATGACTTTATTTAATATTTTTGCTTTGTGTTACTTTTTCAAATTGTTTCACACCGGAAAAAGACATATGTGGTATTGAAACATAAATAATGCATCATAAAATAAGTACTAACACGCACAAAGCAAACATTGACGCAAATATAGCTAGTATCAATAATTTGTTTACTATTGATATCGGTTCTTGTAGTACCATTTCGGAATTTGACCCGAAACACGTTTTCTGTATGAATTTACTTTAATCTTGTTAATATTAAGCAATTTGTTACTTGATTATGTCAGATAACTAAATCTGCCAACGTTGTTAACGAAATTATTATATGCAATCACAACTATTTAATTTGGTAATTGTTTTAAGACAAACAATAAAGAAACATAAATATTTGAGTGACAAAAAAGTTACTTGAATTCAATTTTAATTATTTCAGTATATTCTTCAAGATATTTTGTTGAACTATATTATTTATATTCGGAAAGGAATGGAAGAAAATAAGACTTTAGTATTAATTCACTTAGGAAGTATTTTTCATACAGGCGTTTATTGATTTGTTTTTATTTTCTTTCGAAATGATGATGACACTGTAATAGGTTTTGAAAGAGTCAAAAAAACATTACTTGCCACCGTCATCAACCTTAGCATTTATTTATTTATTTTGCTTTTAAATATTCAAACAACAATGTTTTATTTAAGTGACTTACAATGTGAACATTTTTTTATGACAAACACACAAAAATAAATTGTAACACCCCACGTTAAAGAATTAAAATAAATAGTTTTTATATAGTTTCTAATATAAATATATTCTCCCAGTTTAACCTTTTGCCCATGTATAAGATACTTCATTCACGGGCATTATCTATGGGGCGGAGCTTGCGCTGCTGCTGCTAGTGTCCACGCCACGCCATTTAAATGACATAAATGAATTTGAAAAACAAAAGTTCACATACAAAAACCTCAATGTGGAAATAAATTTGACCTGGTGCATTTTCAACCTTCCCATTTATGCTTGGAATTAATATATAACATGAGAATAGAATATGCAAACTTAAAAATCTGAAAATATCTTTTTACATTAACTAGTATTATCAAATTATTGTGATACATACACCGAGTACATGCTCATTTGAAAAATCGCCATAATCTCCAAGCTGCATTGCAATACCAGTTCTTGTATACATGTTCATAAACATTAAGAAACGCACGCTAGACTTATCTCCGTTCCATGGACAAGCGTAAAAAGTAGCATGTCTAATTTTTTCTCCCTACAACAGATATATAATTTTAAACAATACATAATATTATATTGAGATTAGCTTACAATTGCATGTAGTTTTTTCCCAATTTCTCCAAAGAAAAACGTAAGAAATACGTATCCAAAAATGTAGCAAGCAGCAAGAAAATTAAACTTCTAAAAATATTATGTTTAGTAAATTATATGTTCCTAAATCTTTAATTATTACAATCATTTCAGCTATCAAAAGTAACGCCAATTGCATTCCGGTTATTAATAATAACATTAACAAAGGCCATTTCAGAATTTTGGCAAAAGTGTTCCAAATCCTAAAAAAACAATAATGTACCATTATTTTTCTTAATTTATACACTACAGCAATGGTTACTTGATTAAATACAAATGCTGTTTGTGAGCCACAAGCAGTTTTCGACAACGTGCTGTTTTGCTTGTAATGTGCTTAACTTCCATCAATGTTTCATTTAGAACATCGGATAATGTCTCTAAATATATCACTATAAAAAATATTACTACCGCAACGGAGCATACTCCTATTGATATGTAAACAAGAATTGCAAATAGCAAACAATTGTATAGAGGACGATAAAAACCGGCTAAATCATTAGTAAAATAATACTGAAACATATAAATAAATCTTTAACACATCAGAATATTTTAAGAGTATAAGAGTATATTCTTACACTTGGAACAAGTAAACCACAAGAACCATAGTGTTGCTCTGTGGCATCACAAAATTGAATTTCGACGTTGCAAAACTGTGTAAATACCGCAAGTAAAATGTACACAATCAAAACTTTTTCCATTTTATTCACTCTTTCCAAGTGCTGCATGCACACTGCGTGTTGTAGATTTAGGGGCGGATTGACTCTTATCATGTGAATAATTGAAAGTAATATGTATAAATTGAATTGCATTGAACACAATACACATATTGCTACCATCCCTGATAGTGAAAGTGATATAACAAAGGAATTGTCTACAATGCTTGCTCCTTCTTGATACTGCTTGACTAGATAGCCAAGACCACCGCATATTACTATAAATGTAGTTAACCAGAATACCATTCGAAATAAAACATTTTTCAGAGTGTTTTCTTCAAATAAATAATAATTTTTAAGTATTTTGAAACAGAGTACTAACGAATAAATATCAACATTCTTCATTTTGTTGTTAACCTCTCGTACAACCATTGTCTTTTCAATTTTGAAAACAGTAGTGTAGGATTGAACAATGATATTGAAAAAAATATTATAAGTCAAGGGTAATTACTATTCTAAAATATTTATTTCTAAAAAAATAATTTATCATCAATCGATTAGTGGGCCTATAATTTCTTTTACATTATTATCTCCTGTAGCGTTCATAAAAAAATTGCAGCAATCCTAAAATATAACCAAATATTAGAATTGTAAAAGCACCAGACACATGTTTTTGCTCTAATTGGTTAAATTGTGCCACCACACTTTTGAACCGATCTAGATATAAGTGTTTCTTATAATCCAGGTTTCTAAAAGACTACAAACATAATTATTACTAAATTTAGTAATAAATATTTAGTAATAAATATTTACCTCTGCTTGCCAGTAATAATCCAAACCAGTTTCCTTTAACCTTGCCACGTGTGTGTCCAACAAAGGCATTAGAACAGAATGTTTAACACCAATCATTGTGCAAGACTCAAAAGACAAATCTTCTTCTAATAATACAAATTCTTCCAACCGTTCTAAATTTAGAACATCGCTGTATTCAGATAAGGAGAATCCTAAATCTAAATGATCAATTGCCAAAGCTAAATATTTTGTTCTTTTTAGGATATTGTCGAAAGCATTCGGCGTTACATTCTTGAACTTTGAAATTATCTTACCATACGCATTCTATAATGTTATTTTAATTATATAATTATATTTCTATTAATAAATAAAAAGTATACTGACTTCATTAAGAACACTAACGTAGGAATTAGACAATCCTAATATTTGCACATCGCTGGCAGCTAAATCATGTCCTGTTTGAATATATTTGGCGTAACTGGAATATTAATATTGCATTATCTATTATAATAAATATAATTATAAATAAATACTAACATTGGTTTTGTCATGATGCTGGATAGTACACTATTATAGAAAATTGTCATTAACATCGCATAGTAAAAACACAAAACTCCAAAAAAGCGAATTCGTAAATTCATATTTTGCGATAGCAAAACACCATAGATTTCAAATAAAAATCGTCCAAATAAAAAATGACCTTTATATCTAAAACCAAGAATTAACAATAATTAAATGAAAAGTATTTGAAATTTTAAAAATTTACCGTTTATAAAATTTATTTGCAACTGTATAACAAGCAGCAAGAATGAAAAGCGTTGTAATCATCATGAACCATGGACCAAATTGAAAAGGTTTCAAAGGCACATCAATTCCCGCTGATAATTGAGGTTTAGGCACAAGAAAAGTCAGAGCATTTCGCATTGTCCCCGTTGAAAAGTCTAGTAAAACGCGGCGTGGTAACATTTGATAAAAACAACCTAAAATTTAATCAAAATTCTCGTGTAAATAAATTCTCAATAAAAAATTTACAAAAATTTGTGTTTATTACCAACTCCAAAATCTGCTTCTTCTCCCACAACCAATCCTACCATCCCAGTACCACTAAAATTATTAAAAAGTGTTCCCCATTTATCATTTGTTGGAATAAGTTTTTTTGTAAAATTATATTTATCTACAAATGAATTAACCATCGACCATTCTGCGCCACTATCTTTATCTACAACAAAAAGGGGATAATTGGCTATTATTTTATTATTTATTTATAATTTTTACCTAAATTAACATAAGGTAAATAAGTAAATGATGTAATTCTTAGTTCACGACCCAATAAATTATGAAATTTATTTGTGTACAACTCAATTGTATTAATATCTGTACCATTACAAACTGCAAGATTGACTAAATTCTGAGATAAGATTTCCTGTGTGTATTGATGTGTGAAAACTCAAGCAATCATTGTTTTGTAATAACTAACAAAACATTAACAAGACTGCGAAACACATTTGCATTAAAATACTCATCAACATTAACATCTCCATCTTCAACTAATAAATATTCACGTTTATTAAACCTGAAAACTTTCAGATATCGTAAATTATATTCAATCCTTATTGACAACTTTAACCACATCTTCCCCAGTAATTAAAACCCTTCACATTTTATTCTATCCATGATTTTAATCGTTATATTATTAAATGGTTTCGTTAATTTTACAATTGACGTCGATTGTATATTGATATCATCATTTCAAGTGATATAAACACGTATGATTGCTGAAATACTTCAGGGCAATCACGAGAGAAGTGAGGCATGGAGCAACACAAAAGGTGACATTGTCGCATTTACTGTTGTGGTGTTATTTCCGCTGATTTATATTTCGTGTATCAAAACACAACTACAATGTATCCAACATTAGAGTAACTGGGGAATACTGCACAATTTTGTATTCAATCATCATTTTACAAATCGTCAAACGATGTCACAAATAAATATAGATATTTTAAACACTTAATTCGATATTATTTAATGTTATTGACAGTAAATACTTGTCAATTCACATCACAAGCAATTTGCAATTATGAAAAGTGTTTTTTATGACACAATTTTTTAATGTAGAAATAAATACGTGAAATTAACACTTATTTGACTTATGAATATAGGGACAACGTAACGCAAACAGAGATTAAACCTTGTATTTAACATTTGTTGGGAATAAAGATATGATCAACAAACAAAAATGTTATTTATAGTAATAGCCTTATAATACAGACTAGTAAAATATTCTTATTTTTTGTTTTATCAATAAATAACTAATTATAAAGTAAATATCTTGTAAGATAGAAGTTTTATTTTGTTTAAGGTTATAATACAATCAGTTAATCAATCTTTACTGCTAAATATGTAAACTTGTTCATAGATACTGCCTAAAATTCCAATATATCTCGGTGCGTATTTATAAATTAAATCTTTTGCCAATTCTTTTTCAAAGTTATGTCCGTTTTTTCTGCATTCATCAACAAAGAAATCCGCGAAATAACTCGACGTTTTGATGGCGTTGCTTGTGTGTAATGTAGTCGGTGCTCTTTCGAACTCAAACAGATTCTTCTCAGGATGAAACTGAACACCGTAAAACGGTAAGCTCTTATGTTCATATGAACTGATAAATTCTAAACCATCACGATCCACATTAGTAGAAAGTACTTTCCATTCATCTGTTAAGTTGTATCTCGTGAAATTTGCTTCTGTAAAGCAAAAGCCATGGCTATTTACTGTAACGTTTTCAGTTTTGAGAATGTTGATTATTTCTTTCGGAGCAGTAGAAAATAAGCGACTTGACTTGTAATCTGGTTTAAAGTTGAGAGGTAGGGAAATCTTTTTACTGTAGCAATGTGCGCGTAATTCTTCGCCGTTCAAGGCAACATATGGAATTAATTCCATTCCTAAGCATGTACCCCAAATCGGATAAAAATCACCGGCTTTGTTAAGGGCAAGTGCTGCGTCGTAGAGGTGTTGCCCTGCTTCAGCATAACCCTTTGTTTCGTTGAACCAAACTCCACCACCGGGTAATAACAAGCCGTTTGTTTTGTTTATTATGTTATAATAATAGTCTTTATCATGTCCAATCCTAAAAAAGATAATCATAGATAATTAGATTAAAAAATTGGACAAATTTAGCTGAATTATAAAGTAATTACATAGTTATTATTAGTATTATTATTAAATGATTGTTAATTTGTTAATACAGACGTACATAATGGGTAGAACACGCCCGCCGGAACTTTCCACGAATTTCACGTAAGAAGCAGCAATAAAACTGTGCACATCTTCATTTGGAAAGAACTTGTTGATTGAATAGGATTCCTGCGCCAAAATTCCAATGATTGGGCGCTCATTTCTAGCTGTAATCTCGGCTAAACTTGAACCTAAAACTAAACTAACACAATATAACAATTGCACCCACGCGGACATGTTGACCACTGAAGTGTCGCTTTTCAACTGATTGTAATTGCCAGATAATAAATTACCGCACATCAACACGCTTTGTTCGTAGCCATCCAATTCATGTTGAGTGTATTGATAACGATTAGAGTTTATTTTTCATGCGCACTTGACTTGTTATGTGATATGCAGAGAATTGTTTAATACTTACACTCTAATCCACATATTTATAATTATTTCTAATGCCAATCATTTTTTACATTTGTGTAGCAGTTTTTGCGCCCTCAAACGCTCCGCAAACTTTCAGTAAACATGATTAGACAGGCGGTTATCTGCGTTCGCTTACATTATCTAAAACTTTCCGTCTTTATTTCTATTATCAACAATACCAACCATATTCAGTAACATGCATACCAAGTTTATTTACATTATCACTGCATTCACACCATTCATTTAAATTATCTGTTTAAAACAGAATTTGTCGCTTTCTCTTTTTGACATGAAAGTCCAAGTAGAATAATATTTGACGTGGCAGACAATTGAAACTGTATTTGCTTTTATTGTATGGAACTTGTTGATTAAAAATTCTGAAGTTTGGTTTAAAATTTCAAATTTGTTGATTTTAAGAAGTAACTATAGGCAACCAGTTATACATGCTTTGACACTGCGTTTGAATAACCTTCTCACGTCTATGTCACTTAAGTCGCTTTGCGTCGCCTTGGTCTGCCTTGATCGCCTTGGTTGCTTTACTCACAATTTGTCAATTATGAGTATCGCGAATTGTTTTAGTTCGAATTCTACATGTGATCTCATCTATATTTAGTTTACTTTAAGTTAGTTAATCGTAGATTAGCGCCGCAATAAACACCAGACAATGAAATGACTGTCATCTACCAGAGCAAGATGTGTGAACCAGAAGCAATTGATCAGGTGGATCGATTGCCATCCAGAGACAGGGTCACTGATTTGGATATAGCTGGTTTCGTCATCTCAATCGTTAGTCATCTCGTTGATCTGGTCTTCGACTTGAACTTGGCCTACAGATACTATCACAACAATGAAATTCCTTACTTCTGCACAACTTTAGGTTTTATTCTCATACCAGCAATAGTCAATACTGCTTTCAGTATACGAATGTAAGTTAAAAAAATATGTCCTTGATATATCCGCTATAAAAATTATTTTTAGGTACTACTTAGACCAAGGGAAGGCAAACAGAAGTTTAACTAATAGATTATCGTTGCAGGATTCTGCTGTTTACTCATATTAGTTTTTCAACTGGCTCCAGTATTGAGGTACTTTGATGCTTTACAATATGCACTCAAGTCTAGAAAAGCACAAAAGAACAAAAATATTGAAGATCAGAGAAAGTACTACAAGCTGATGGTGCAGGAAGACTCAGATGTGGCTTTACTCAGAGTATTGGAGTGTTTTCTTGAGGCAGCTCCACAACAAATTTTACAATTGTCAATTATATTTCATACTCATGGACAGGGTATTAGTAATACTTTTACTTGTAAGTTTTCTTGTTATCTACCACATAAATTTTCATATAAATCACGACATTTTTTAGTTATACATCAGTTGCTTTCGATTGGCAGCAGTTTTGTGAGTATGGCATGGTCTATGGCTTCCTACCAAAGATTACTAAGAGTGTCTTTAACAAATAAGAATAACATTACATGGGCTGGTACTATCATGCAATTCATGTGGCACTTTTTAGTTACAGGTAAGTAAATTATTCAACAAAAAAAATGCATGAAAATATATAAATTCGTTTCAGTTTCGCGTATAATGTGCATAAGTGTTGTTGCTTCCATCTATCCTGAATACACCGTCCTTGCCCTTTTTATCCACTGGATGTTCATGGTCATCTGGCTGCTCTACTCCACCCATGACCTTAATTTCTGCAACAACAACCGAATCTACGACTTCCTCTTTTATACAATCTTCGGCACTGTGTACATCTTCACGCATGTGAGCCTTAGCGACGGGCGTACATTTTGGAAGTACGTCTTTTTTTATCTTACATTATGCGTGGAGAATATCATCTGCATGATCGTGTGGATCGTCAAAGCGGACGACACTGTGAAGGAGACGCTTTACTACCTCCCAATCGTCTATATTAACTTTATCTCGTTTTTTGTTGGCATACTTTTCATGATTATTTATTACAAGATCTTCCATCCGAGCACTGGCTACGTCAGCCGGCTCACACGTGCTGCACAGCACGCGTTAACCACATAAATAACTTGCGAGTAGGTTTTATTTAGTGCGTGACTGGCTCTGATTAGTTTCTCTTTATTTATTTTCTGCTAGAGCAATTTTTGAGCAACGTATGATTTTATATAGACTAATTATTTATGACATTACTGATTTACTCCATACGCTGATACTTTTCTTGTGATTCTGATAAAATCTCACGTTAGTTAACTTTTATTAGCCAATTAAGATCACATTAATATCTATTCGCTAGTGTTTTAATAGTTTAAATATTAGGTGCGTTAACTAGTCATTTATTTTTCGTTGGAACAAGTCGAAGCAACGCGAACGCACAAAATTGTGTACTTAATATACTTAAATAATTTAGAAGAAGAGTTTTAAATCGTGTTTATAGACATGATAGTGGCTTGTGAAGTATATTTTTGGATTGTCGATCAACTTTTTTTCGAACAAACAATTTACATTTACAACTCGAATTTGTAAATAGCTATTGCGAATA